GGGGTGGTCATAGAACAATCTAGAAGGCAAAAGGGTCCTCAAGCCACAGAGACACCCAGAGGGAGTTGGGGGAAGTGAACTCCATGGAGGGCGAGGAGGAGCCCTCCACCCAGGCAAAGCCAGAGGCAGGACCCCCTGGTACCTTCAGGAATGGGAAAACCTAGAGCCTGCTAAGGATGTGGCCTGGGCCCACACCTGGGGGGACCTGACCTGAAAGCTGGTCCCTCTGCTGGTCCATGCGCTCCACACTGTCCAACAGGCGGTCCAGCTGGGCTTTGATCTGGCTCAGCTCTCCCCTGATGGAGTGCAGCTCCTCAGTCTGGACTGCTGGGAGAGGGGCCAGAGTTGGTATCAATCAGGTTCAGGAGGCAGAGGGCAGTGCTGCGAGGACTCCTGAACCCACCCTCACTGCTAAGGGCCTCTGAGTTCCCCCCAGCCCCGCAGCTGAGGGCTGTGCTCCCTCACTCACGCTTTATCTTGGGGGTCAGCTGACTGTTCCCGGGAGGCTTGTGGGGACTGAAGTTGCTCTTGACCCCCATGCCCAAGTGGGTCCTCCGGATCTTGATAGGCACACGGTTGACTAGTGGAGGGATCCTCTGGTATTCATACACCCTGTGGACAGGATGGAGAGGGAGTCAGGCCAACTAGCCCCACCTGCTTGCCCAGAGGACTGAGGGGGGCAGGACCCACCTACCTGTAGGGGAAATCTTCCCTGTACAGCTTGTAATCCAGGTCATAGTTGCTGTTGAAATAGAGATAAATGAGGAAAGAGTCATTGTCCAGGGCCAGAATCCTTGCCTCGACTCCAGTTTAATTTGGAGAAACTGATGTATGCAGCTTTTCCTTAGAATCCCAGGATTCTTCACCAGAAGAGCCCCTAGGGACTTGACCAAGGTCACTTTGGGAGACCACAGCAAACCAGCTTCCCCATAGCTGGCCTCTGTTAGGGGCACGTTCCGGGTGCCTCCAGGTGGCAGCAGGGGGCAATTGCCCACAGGCTTCTGGCCAGCCAGGTCTGGGCTGTCCAAAGGCTCCTCTGCCTGACCCAGGCACTGCTGATCTTTTTCTGGTTCTTAGTCTGGCAGAGGATGAAAGGGAAGAATTAAGTCAGGGCTCAAAGCCACGGAGAGAGCCTTTAATCCTTGCGTGGGAATCGCCAGGATGCAGGGCTCAGCACTGGCAGGGCCAGACAGTTGGGGTTAAGGGCCATGGCCAGGCCACCTTCCCTTCGCTCCAGGCCCTGGGAGACAGGCTGAGTCTGGAAGGTCCCAGGTTGTCACTGCCTGGCCTCACCCCTGCTCTCATGCACCATGCACCTCCAGGGAACTGGTGGCTAGGAGGGAAGGGAAGATGGGTGCAGAGGGACAGCTGGGTCCGGCTTGGGCAGGAAGCTCCTGTGGGGATACAGCTGCAGGCAGTTCGGGTGCAGCCTGAGGCTTCAGTTAAGGCAAGTGAGGAGTTGAGGGGGAGGAGAGGGGCTGCAAGCTGGGGGCAGTAAAGTTTCTGAAATAACTTTCTGGGACTGTACGCCCACACCGCCAGCTCAGGCCCAGCCGATGAGGGGCAAGGCCTGTGGAAGCCACCGGAGCGGGATAGGGAACATTAGGGGGGCCCCTTCCCCTTCATGCTGTGAGGTCCCCAAGCCTGTGGATGAGATTTCCGGCCACCCCCGCCCCCGCTTTCTGGCCTCAGGAAGTCTGGTGGGCGGGCCAGGAGCCGCTGGGTTGTTGATTCCGGCGGTGGGAGGCCCGTCCTTGGAGAAAGGAAAGCGGGCCAGTGAAGCGCGGGAGGGCAGGTACCCATCCCTTTGGCGCTCTGGGGTTGGGGTTGGGGTCCGGGGCACGGTGCAGGAAACAGGTAGCCCCCTGAGGGTCGGCAACGACCAAGCTGGGACAGCTGGGGGCCAGGACAGAGCTCAAGGTTACGAGTCTCAGCTGAGTCCGAGTCTCACTCCGGGAAAATTCTCGCTTGTCCGGCCCGCCTTGGGTTGGCCGTGGGGAACCCCCTCTCCCTGACTGGGTTGAAACCTCAGCACAGATCAGACAGCTGGAGGGGAGGGGAGGGGAGGGAGATGGGGAGGGGCCAGTAGCCGACCATCTGAGCTACCTCGATGAACCCTATTCTGCAACAGCATTGGTGATTCAGTGGTAGAATTCTTGCCTGCCACGTGGGAGGCTAGGGTTCAATTCCCAGCCAATGCAAGAAGCACACTTTTCTTTAAACACCTCTTCCTCACTTTTTTTCCTAAAATGACTTTTTAGAGTACCTAAAAATTAATGGTAAAGGAATGGTAATTCACTGACTGCTGAGCACAGGCTTGGGAGCTACTGGAGTTGAGACAAAGGCAGGATGAGTTTGCGGGTTAGAGGTTAGGCGGTATTCGCTGCTCCAGCTTGCTGTAGGTAGAGGGTCCCTCCCGGTCTGGGGTCATCCCTGCTCTGCCCCTGCCCCCAGTCATCAGCCAGGGCTGAGGCCTGTGCCCTGGGCGTGTGGCCTTGATCCTCTCTTCCTAAGGGGCAGTGGCCTGGTCACACAGGGTCTGCAGTCACATCTGTCCCCTGGTCTGGGCTAATGATTACAGTGCAAGCTGGGACTTCCCACAATAAGAGAAATAAAATGCACCATCAGTGTGACTCTGTGGGCCGAGGTTAAGCCACCTCCCTCAGTGTCATCAGGGGCCAAGTGGGGGGAGGTGGTGGGCGGAGGGGACCTGGGGCAATCCTTCCACCACAAACCTTTCCCTCCAGGTTGGCAAATGCCATTTTGAGACACAAGACACAAGGCCTGGACTTGACCAGTTCTCATAGAGAAGTCATCCAACAACTCAGGGGCCACTAGAACCCCATCCCTGAACCACCCCTCTTTGGGTGAATATCCAAAGGGGCCAGAGCCACAGCAACAGCCTGCTGCTGTCCAGACATGCTGCCCTAGTCCCCAGAGAAGGGTTTCATTCTCCCCACTGGAGTCCCCTAGGGACACATGGGTCTTAAGGAAGCCACCCCTGCCCCAGGCCTTGAATGCCAGGCACCCCTCTGAATGGAATCTGAGCTCCTGCAGGACAGCTGGCATCACTCCCCATTGCTTCCCTGTTCTCCCACCTGCACCTACAGGACTGGATCCGAGCCTGCTAGGCAAGGGGGTGGGGGGACATTAAATCTGGAGAAGGCAACTGGAATTGAAGAACTGAGAAAGGGTTAACCCAGCCTCAAAGCGGCCGTGTGAAAAAGCACAGCAGAGAACTATGGGAAGAAACCACTTACCTCCCATCAGACGGATATTTACCAAACCATATCAACTCCCAGATGAGAGTCTCACGCACGAGACTCGAGGCAAACCAACACACCGCATATGCAGTTCAGCATCACTGAGGAAACGCAAGCTTAAAAAACTATGAGTACACATCTACTCATCAGCCCAAAACAACACAGTGAAAAAGCAGTCCATGCCGGCAAAGATGATGTAGATCTTCTGGCTGCCGCAGGCAGGGAGAGATTTGGCCTAATATCTCTCAAGGTCAGCCTGGAGGTGCAGAGGCTTCTCAGAGTAGCCCCTACCCATTCCTGCCATCGCACTTCTGAGGAGATGAGACCCAAAAGAAACCAGAACCGGACTTCCCTGGTGGTCCAGTGGTTAAGAATCCTCCTGCCAATGCAGTGGACACGGGTTTGAGCCCTGGTCCAGGAACATCCCACATGCTGTGGAAGCAACTAAGCCCACGAGCCACAACTACTGAGCACATGTGCCACAACTACTGAAGCCTGCTCGCCTAGATCCCATGGTCTGCAACAAGACAAGCCACTGCAGTGAGAAGCCCGCACACCGCAATGAAGAGCAGCCCCAGCTCGCCGCAACTAGAGAAAGCCCGCGTGCAGCAACGAAGACCCAACAGAGCCAAAAATAAATAAATAAATAAGAAAAGTAAATTAAGTATAAAAAAAATTATAACCCCCCCCACAAACAAACAAACAAAAACCCAAAAGAAATCAGAACCTTCGGCAGCAGGCTGTTTACACAGTGCTGTACCTAACAGCAACCACCTGACCCACTCCCTCCCTGCCTCCCCCACTGGCAAGACAGAAACCACTCATGCCCACAGACAGGCCAGGAGCTGATCACAGACATCACAGGCTCCCAGCTGAGGGGACTAAGGGACCACCGGTTCACACACACTCTGGTTACGCCTGTGAAAATGGCACGTTGGCTGGCAGAAGTTGGTGAGCTCCTTTCTAAACATGTTTAAAGGTTTCTTTAAAATTCCTTGGAGCTTTCCAAGTTAGAGGGAAGATTTCATCCAGAAAGTTTCCCATTGTCTACTTCCCAAACATGTATACCCAGGAAAAGCCCCCGAGCACCCCACAGGTGAGGCTCCCCTTGGAGGACTCACACCCCCGGGTCCAGGTGAGAGCATAGGGCACCACCAGCAGGAGGGTGGCTGGGTTGTGTCAGCTAGAAGGGGCCTTGGAATGAGCTGGGTTGACCCCCCTCCACCCCCCCC